CAAAGAATGATTCACCATTTTAGCAGTGTTCAGAACTGGGCCAGGTTCAAAGTGTTTCACATACACGAGGGTAGACAATGTGTACTAACAGGAAAAGGAGGAGATGCACAGAAACAAACTGATTTGTTCCAAACTCAGTATCTGCCTTATATGGGCATAATGCCATAGGCTGCCATCTGCGATTGGTTGAAGCTTCAGTGCTGTGATTGATGAGACTGAGGTATTTGGTACAATAATATAGTCCTAAATCAGTTTGCAGTTCGGTTTGGTTACAAATTAAATTAGGTTGCAGTTCACTGTGTGTGGAAACTGCTTTAAGCTAAATTTAATTAATTTACTACTCTTATAAAGTAGGAAGGGCCCAGATATCCTGAAAGGCATGCAGGGGATATTTTCAGTGTAGAACAAAGAAGAAACTTTACTTTTAATGCACACTTAAGGATGGGTGGCCCGTAGCATTTATAATCTCACAGGAATCAGAAAGCTATTAGCTGGCCAGATGGACATATTTTTATGGTGCAAAAATCAGTGGGCCAAGGAGCTCAGGGTTTTTTGGTTTTGGGGGGGATTTTTTGTTTTTGCTTTTTTGTATTTTAGGGTTAGGGATTGAACTCATGACCACACACTTGTAAGGCAGGCACTTATATAAGCCTGCAGGCTAAATCCCCAGCCCTGAGGAGCTCAGGATTTACTGCAGGCTGTATAGCAGGAATGACAGGTTCAGATCCCAGTGTCCTCTCTGGGAACTCAGTGCTTCGTTTTTTCCTGCCTCCCTGGGAAAGTCACTCATCACTGAACTTTATTTACTGATCCCCTACCATGAGCTCCTCTAGGCTTTGCAGACTTGCAAGAAACAGATGGGAAACTAGAAACTCGGCTGGAAGTAAGAAGGGATTCTCTTGTTGTACTCATGTTCTCAGAATGCCTTAATAGGGTGCTACAGGCCGGGGGGCTCCAGAGTCTGGAGGCAGGTTAGTGGAGATCAAGGTATCAGTCAAAGGAGGTCAGAACATTTTCATGCCCCTGTCCCAGCCTCTGGAAGATTTGCTGGAGATCTTTTGCTATTCTCTAGCTTTGTCCTGTTTTCTTTTTTCTCCTCTTCCTCTTCCTCTTTCTCATTCTTTTTTTTTTTTTTTTTTTTTTTTTCTTTTTCATACAACAGATTGAACCCAGGGTCTTCACACAGAACTGCATTCCCTGGCCTTCATTTTTCTAATTTTAAGACAGGATCTCTCTAATGTGCTGCACTGCTCAAGCTGGGTTCTAACTTGCAACTTCCCTGTCTCAGCCTCCTGGAGTTCTGGGATGACAGGCGTGCACCACTGTGCCCAGCTATTTGCTGACTTCTCCTAGTTTTGCCCTAATTCTTCTCTTTATTTTTATACGGGGATCACCTTGTGAATGTCTGTTTCTAAGACACTATTTGTCCTTTCAGAAGGACCTCAGTAGTGTTGGACTTGAGACTCACCCCGCTCCAGTATGACCACCTCACCCTTCTGTTTTCTTCCGTTCGTCATCCACAATAATTGCGTTCATCTCGGGTTACTGACATGTACACTTATTGCATAACAATCATTTTCTCTTTCTAGGCTCCTTCTTTCTCCCCTGCCCTCATTCTAACTAATCACATCTGCAATGACCCTATTTCTAAGTAAGGTCTCCCTCTGAGAAGCACCAGGGACCACAACATAATGAATTTGAATGGTGGAGAGACAATGCAATTCACAGTGGAGACTAAAGCCTTAGGGGCTGACCTTTGGCGGGTAGGGAAAGACTCCTCTGCACCAAGGTGGTGTTTCAATTGGGAGGAGGCTGGGCAGGGAGAGAGGGTCTTAGGTTGACCCGCGTAGCCTCAGGCCAGGAGTGGTGAGATTCAAGTGAGGTTGTCCTTGGCCTGCTGCCTGCCCCTCCCCTTCACTTACAAAAAGAGCTTGGAAGAAAAGAAGAAACAATTCTTCATGAAAACTTTATGTCATGGTCCTGAGCTTGGAGGTCACAGCAGTGCCGCAGTGCGAGGTGCAGCATGTGAAAGGCCAGGACCTTACCAGCAGAGGGTGGGAAAGTTATGACTTTATCCGTACGCTGCAAGAGAGAACTAGGTAAGTTCAAGAAAGGACCGCACTGTCAGGGTGAAAGACTGTGATTCTTTTTTTAAGAGTTTGAGGGTGTGAAAGTGGTATGTGATGATCAAAACAAACAGGTGTCCCAGGAAGGCATTCTTTAAGTTGGGGTGCACTCTATGTATCTTGCAGGGCATCTGCTTAAGTTACACATTAAGGAGCCAGTTTCCCATGGTCTACTACTGTGGGACACTTACTGTTCAACATAAGGACCCCTGTGCACATCAGATCAGGGCAAAGTGTCATAGTCCACTGGGGAGAGATATGTGTTCCGCATAAAGACGTGCTTATTATTTAATTTTACATATGGTTTAGCCTGTGGGGAATGTTGTGGTCCCTTAATATGTGTCAGCTCAAAAGCGACTGGTGGAACAAAAGACTGGGTTTGCCATAACTGTGCCGTCACCGTCCATTAACACATTCTCTGCCTGTTTATCATCCATAATCTGCAGCCCCTCCAGGGCTTTAGAAAACACAGGTACTAGTTTGCTATTTTGTCTTCAGTGTTGTTAGGGGATATTGCAACTTTTAACATTTACTTGCAAATGTTTATTGTGATAAGACTGGGAAGCATGAGATGGGTCCTCTTAACCAACATCTGACTGCACAGCCCACTTAGTCAATTTTAATTTGTTGTCTGCTTCTTTCTGTTGAATTTATTTAAGGGTGCAAGGTCATAGAATGGGTTTCTGGAGCTTAGGCATCTTGCTTAACTGCAGCTTTGTATCTGCTGCTAGGAACTGTCCACTCCCCTCCTGCCATTCCCCCGCCAGGGGTGCTGGCAGCCACTGATCCACTCCGATTCTGTGAACTGGAGTAGTGTAAATATCTCAGAGCAGGAACTGTGGTGTTTTCTTGGGCTGGGTTGGGCTCATTTCCTTTAGCATAATGAATGCTCCCCTTACCTGCCCATGTGTCAGCAGACTGAAGAATTTCCTTCATTTTTAACGCTGAATCATATCTCATTGTGTGTGAACCACCTTTTCTTTATGCATCCATTCCCCTAGACATCTGAGCTGCTGCCCCCTCTCTGCTCTAATACGTACCGCTCAGCTAGAACTCTTTCGTGATGTTTATTTCACCTTTAACCTTTAACCTTTCGAGGACCTGCATCCTGTTCTGCACAGTGGCGGTGCCCCTTGCCATTCTGCCTTCCTGTTAACAGGGTACAAGGGCCCCAGCTCCCCACATCCTTGCCAGTGTTCGTTGTCCTCTGTGGCCCCTTTGTCACAGTGTTCATTTGTCTGTTTGGCAGTCCTAGAGATGAAACCCAGGGTTCACACTTGCTAGGCCTGTGCTGTCCCCTGATTGCAGGTGGCAGTTTTAATGATTCCAACGCAGTTCCTGGGAACATAGGTCTAGAATCAGGCCTGAGGAACTGCATTTCCTTTAACTTTCATTTTTATTTTTAATTTTAAATCTTTTTATTAACTTCATTTCTTGGTAATTTTTTGTTTGTTGGTTGGTTGGTTGGTTTTGAGACAGGGTCTCACTACGCAGTTCAGGCTGGCCTTGAGCGCACCATAATCCTCCTGCCTCGGCCTCCAGAGTGCAGGGATTACAGGTATGCACCACCACACCTGTTTTAATTTGATTTTAAATTATACTTTATTTATTTATTTAGGAACCTCCCTGGGGATAGTGGGGGGGGGGGTGTGCAGGAGACCCAGTCCAAGGCCTTGTGCATGTTATGTTAGATAACTGTTTCCCCATTGAACCACACCAGAGCCAGAATCTACATTTCTATTAGGTTCTCAAATAATGCTGATTTAGTTTTGAGAATTAGTTTTATGACTTTTGTCCTTTTCTGCTCTGCCACTGAAGCTCTCCAACAAAAATGGAAAATGAAAACAAATCCTCTTTTGAATCTAGGTCAACCCGAAAGCCCATAGTGGCCCTTCCTTTTAGAACAGTCTCCTAAACTGGCCCACCTAAGAATCTCCTGGGTAGGGCATGGCAGGGGAAGGTGTTAGAATGTGGCTGTCTGGGTCTCACTTCCTGAGCTCAAATTTCTAAGAAAAGAGACTTGGGCATGTTCTTGTTCCATCTGTGCCTCAATTTCCTCACCAATAAAATGGGTTTCTTAAGACAGGATTAGATGAGCTAACAAACTGTGGATCTCACTTTAGGAGATATCTTCCAGGAGTGTTTTGTTTGCTTTTTGTTTTGTTTTGAGACGGGATCCCTTTATGGAGCCGAGACCAGCCTTGAGTTGCTATCTACAGGCCTCTAACTCTTGGTCCTCCAACCTCAGCCTCCAGAGGACTGGGACTGAGGCACGGTGCCTGGCTCCTTTTGGGGGCTCTGTGCAGCACAAAGTGTTGGGTCTAACCTCAGAGTACCGGGAGGTCTGTGAGGGGGAAAGTGGTATTTCTAGCAGAGACCCAGCTGATGTGGATGATCTGGGGACCCTTAGAGGAAATGTGGAACTCAGGCTCAGGAAAGCTGGTATGGTAACCAGGGTCTGGCACTAATACAGTCCGTGACGGGAGTCACAGATAGTGAAGCGGGCTTGGAGGACACTGTTCTGTAGGACTGCTGGAAAATAACAGTTAAAACAGCCTCTGCAGGAGTAACAAGCCAAACACAGGACTCAGGCAGATGGGGCTGGCTGGATGGCAGAATCCAGGGCAATTCTATTCAAAATGGCACTGTTCTAAAGAAATTAGCAGCCCACCTCACACCTATTAGGATGGCTACTATGACAAAGAAAAGCACACAGATAATAACATGTGGCTGAGGATGCAAACAAACTGGAACCCTTGTACACAGTTGGGGCAGAGTGTATATAACATGGGATAACCAGCATGGAACATGGTACGTCAGTTCCTCAAACATTAAAAATAGCATTATGGTAGGATCCAGCAATTCAAATTCTTGATATATACTCAAAATAACTGAAAGCAGAGTCTCAAAGAACCATTTATATATCCGTGTTCATAGCTATATTATTCCTAAGCATCATACTTGTGTCTATCGATGGATGAATCAGACATACAATGTGATAGGGCTACACAATGAAATACCACTCAGCCTCGAAAAAGCAAAAATTCTACCACACACTACAATGCGGGTGAACTGAGAGGACATTGTTATGATCAGTGGAATAAGCCAACCACGAACAGACCCAATATGATGCGTATATTTTACTGCTATTTAAGAAGAAAAAGGGAACTAACTCAGTTCTGGGATCTATGGCTAAGCCTTTTATCTCCATTTGTCCCAGCAATGATCCTCCAGAGGAAACGCTGTCACACATAATTTCAAGTTACCAAAGTGAAAAACAGAGAGATTGCCCTGGACTAAGAGACTTTGAACTCTAGATAGGTAACAGAGCTGCTAAAATGATTAGGAAAAGGCTGGGATTTAGCCCAGTGGCATAAGCGCCTGCCTGGCAAGCACGAGGTCATGAGTTCAGTCCCCAGTACCAAAAAAATAAAAAAGATTAGAAAAAAAGTGTCAGGGCCGGGTGTTTAGCTCGGTGGTGTAAAGTGTAAGCGCCTGCTTGGAAAACACATGTCAAAGTCGTGAGTTTGATCCTTGGCACAAAAAAAAAAAAAAAAAGAAAGAAAGAAACAAAAAAGTCAGAAGTAACCTGCAGGTGTTAGGGAAATTTAATTAAAACAAGTCTTCTCCCAACTGAGAAAACCTCACCCTAAGAATAAAAGACTAGGGGGGAAATACCCCAACAAACTAAACAGAATATAGAGTACATCAGACATATCCACTAAGAGATTTCAAAGGCAGGAAAAATACCACATGCTGTTCCATAGCCCAGAGGTATGAGGGGCTGCACCCACGTTCTCTAGGTAAACAGGCCCTGGTTGTGAGGCAGGAGGGTTTGATCACCCCATCTCTCACACACAGTTCACCTGGGGGCCCGACTCCTGGTGAGCTAACTGGCTTTAGCCAGAGGAAAAACACATTTTTTCTTGATGACAGCAGGCCGTTTTGCAATTTGAAGCCAGGAAGCCCTTGTGGGCTCCTCCCCTCCCTGGGAACCTGGGAGCTGGGAAGAAGGAAGCCTGGGGTTTGCAGTCAGATTCATCTTACACAGACAACTCCAGGAGATAAAGTTGAAAAGGGAAGGGATTGGGGGTGGTTTGTTCTATTTCTGGCATTCAGGGGCGGCAAGATTTCGCAGGACTGGGCTCCTAGGGAAAGAAAAGAAAAAAAGGATTTCAAGGTGAGGTGACTGGAGTTTGAAGCTCAATCCCGACTAGGTTTATAAAATAATTCTCATCCTCTTGTGTGTTTTCTCAGGTTCTTTGCAGAATAAAATCACCTCTGCCGCTTGGGCTGCTTCTCCCCTGCTGCCTAGGCTTTGCCGTTTCTGGGCATGCTAGTGATTTATGCTTCAGGGCCTTTGGCCTTACTTTTATTCTGTCTGACTGTCCTTCTGTCACTCTTTCTGTCCCCCCAGAGATACGCTACTTTTCATCATTTCTTATGTGACCAGTCACATTCATAAAAAGTACTGGTCCTAGAGCCTTTTGTGCATATAAACATCTGAAATTATCGTGCTTGTTAATTATGTGTCCCCCACCAAACTGTATGGTGCATAAGGGACAAGACCCACGGTAGTGAAAAATACAGGAGCCAGACAAGCTGGGCTCAAATCCCAACTCAGCTGTGCAATGTCCTAAGAGCTCCTGCAGAAGTCAGGTAGGACGATGCGCACACCTATAATCCCAGCACTCTGGAGGCTGAGGCAGGAGGATCATAAGTTTAGGACCAGTGAGAGCAATTCAGGGAGACCCTGTCTCATAAAAACTGAAAATATGGGGGAGTTCTGTCTATAACATACAGGGAACTAGACAAGTTTCTATAATGTTAAAGAACACCTGAATTAGGAGGACAGAACTGGGACTACTTTAAGTAGTTGCAGTTTGTTGCTGGTGTAATAGTAATAATAGTATACGATCCTTGGCTTCTACCACAGAAGCAAGTTGATATTAGATAGCAGAATTTGACTACGGGCACGCAGAGAAGGAGGGTGCTCAGCGCTCTCCAAGCTGGCACTGTAACCTGAGAGGCCGACAGGCTAAGGGGGAGCCCGAGTCCTGCCACTCTCTCTCTCTCTCTCTCTCTGGCTCCTGTCTCCAAGGATCCCAAACTCTGGGCTCAAACGCCAAATGCAACAAAGCAAAACCCTAAAAGTCAAGCCGGTCTCAGTCTTGAGGAGCTGAAATCTAGAAAACCGGGGTGAAGCCAGCCTAGACTGACTCAGTTGTCTGCAGCCCAGGAGGGGAGCAGAGCCCTGGGCTCACAGCCAGGAGGTCACCCTCTTCCACCCTCTGTTTTTGCAAGTCACATTCTTGCTTCCCTGTGAGGTTTGAGTGGGGGGAATAAAATACCTCTCTGCCCTGCTGAGCGATCTCACGCCCACCCTGACTCCACCCACGCTGCTCTGCCCCGGTGTGATTGTCCCATCCCGTCCTGCGTGTAGTACCCCCCCCCCTTTCCGGGTCTCCCAGCAGGAGAGGGCCTAGAGGCCTCTGGGTGGTGCAGTACTGTTTCACCAGGATTAGTGAGTGCAAGGCACTCACCTCGGCCCGCAGGCCACCCCCCCCTCCAACAACCCTTCACAGGCTGTGGCCTCCAGGATCAGGGGCTCAAGTGTCCGCGCGCGTGTGAAGACAGAGGAGGGGCGGGAAGCAAAGTGGGAGGAGAGCTAGCCCTTTGCCTGCACTGGCCTCCGTGGGGCTGCGCATGGAGAAGGGACGACTGGACCGAGAGACAGGACAAACGTGTCAGTGTTGCGGTGTCTATTGTGAGAAACCTAACGTGTAAATAAGAGCGAAAAATTATAATAGAGATTGTAAAATGGGAAGAAAATGTTCTAAAGGAAAGGGGAATTGAGAGGGGGAGAGGGAAAGGAAAGAGGGAAAAGGAAAAAGAAAAGAAGGGGAAAATAGATACAAAGCTTTGTAATACAGTGGAGGAAGAGGGATTGGTGGGGATGAGAACAAAGATGTAGTATGTAGAGGTACAGGTTCCCTCTGAGGAATGTGCTCATGGTGCATAACTAAATGGTACCAATAAACTTAATATAGAAAGGAGGAGGGAAGGGAAGGAAAGATAAGAAGAAATAAAACATAAGGAGATAAACGGATCAAGAGAAACAGTGGGGAGAACCAAGCAGAGAGTCCAGGAGGGATAGAGAAAGAGGGGAGCCGGGGAGAGATGAGCAAGGTGCCTGTATCCCGAGCTTCTGTCCACTTCATGCTTGATACAGAACAGGGCACATGGACTCTTAATACATGCTCACTGGCACCGGGTCCAAGCTGTGGAAACCAACTGTGTTTATTTAGAAAGCTACTACCAGACTCCTGTTTGTTGGGATTTTCAGTTTTTATGAGACAGGGTCTCCCTGAATTGTTCTCACTGGTCCTAAACTTGTGACCCTCCTGCCTCAGCCTCCAGAGTGCTGTTATTATAGGTGTGCGCATCGTCCTACCTGATTCCTGCGGGAGCTCTTAGGACATGTCCAGGACTGATGGCCAGCTGGTTAAGTCCAAATGCAGCCAAATAACTGTCCAAGAAACACACAGACCCAAGGATAGTTATGTCTTTTGCTGTACAATGTCTTCAAAATATTTGCCTATTTTGTCAATATTTTAAAATCTCATAGTTCATAACATTTCCAAGTATTGATTGATTTTTGATTGATTGATAGTGGTGATTAGAATCAACCCCAGGACCTCGCACATGCTAAACACCCATTCTACCACTGCATTGCATCTCCAGCCCTCCTAGTGCCTTTTGAAAAGCTTCAAGCTGGGCACGGTGGTGTGCACCTGTAACTCTAGCCCTCAGGATGCTTCAGGTAGGATGATCACAAGTTTGAGATGAGCCTGGATTATATAGTGGGATCCTGTCTCAAAAATCTAAAATGAAAAAACAGTAAAAAGTTTGAAGCTCAGTACCCTAGGTCCGTATCACAGCAGAAGCCAAGTGGGAGCTGTCTCTTTAGATGGGGTGAACCTCTTTCATTTGTCACAGACTCTGCCACTCTGTTTTGTCTCGTGGAGGTTGAGTCACGGCACCCAACTGCCTCTGTGCTCACACCTGTGCAGCCCTTTCTTCTTGGAATACAGTTTAGAGGAAGAGATGAGAGAGAAAGTTCCAGGTTCTCAAGAACCAAAGAAAAACTACAGTAAACTCGCTGCATCTGTAGGTTCCATGGCCCCAGATTCAAGCAAATACAAATGAGAAACATTATGATAAAGGCGAGGGGTGTAGCACAGTGATTCAGCACTTGCTTAATTGTGAGAGGTCCTAGTTCAATCACAAGGAAGGCAGGAGGAAGGATTCTCTCCCCAGTGAAGAGTAACAAAAGTAGTAATCTACCAATAAACAATAATACAAGCTTAATAATTCATTACATAACAAATACACTGTATTGGGTATCATGAGAGCGATAAAGGAAAAAGAAATCCCAAACTGCTAGAGGTCTGATACGAGCCTGAGTTCTCTATAATTGAAGAATGAATTTTAGGAACAATAGAGGTTAAGAGCAGAATATATTTATTGAGAGAAAGAAAGCTTCTGTTCAACAGAAAGAAAAAAGAAAGAAAGAATCCCAAGAGGGTTGTCAAGGGCTCTGCCTTTTTTATGGTTTTTAGAGAGCAAAACCATGAGGTGATGTGGGTCCAAGTTAGGAAAAATAGAAAATCACAAGGTGGGCATCAAGTGGGACAGAACTATCATCAACCAATAAGATTACAGGTATAATTGCTCGGGTGAAATTGATTAAACCAGGATCAAGTGCAGAAGTGAGTCATGTAGCAAGTGGGCTCTTCCTACAGGGATTGGGTTAGTGGCTCCTTCTGGCTCCCTCAAGGCGATTGATACCTGTTTAGAATATCAATCCTTGACACTTTTCCTTAGAAAGTATGTGGCTGCATTTTTAAAATCTTTTGTCTTGAGGTCTGGCTCACAGTGGGAGGTGTCGACTTTCCCCACAGTTGCAAGGTATCTGGTCTACTGCAATGGCTCCTTCAAGAACCCACCCTGTCTGACTGCCTATAATATTTTTATCTAATTTAGGTGCCTATAACAGGAGGACATGCATTGGCTTTATGCAAATACTATGCCATTTTACATAAGGGCCTTCAGCATCCATTGATTTCGGCACCCACTGAGGGTCTGAGAAATAATCCCACTTTAGATACAAAGAGACAAATGTATATCTTTTATGTTATTTCTCGACATTCATGATATGAGGAGTGATTTTCTTGTTATCACCATAAACACTGTCTTTCCCACTTTCTCATCGCTGAGGTCAAATTTCTGAACCCCCGACTTAAAGGAGAAGAGCTTTATTCTGACTCAGGGTTCTTAGAGGATCCGGTCCATGCTGGTTCCAAGGCAGAAGGGGCATGCAGAAGGCTTTGTTGGAGGAGAGCTGCTCACATCACCGGAGTATAGGAAGCAGAGAGACGGGAGGAGCTGGGAAGGGAGAGTCACCCTTTGAGATCCCGCTGCAGTACCCCACCCCTCCCGGTCAGCCTCTACCTTGTAACAGTAAGTCCAGCTCTGTGATCCCATCGCCTTCCAAAAACCCAACCACTGAACACATGAGACTTCTGGGAGGTCATTCTGGCTCGAAATGATAAGAGGTGTTCTATGCCAAGGCATGAAGTGTGGTGGTTAAGAGAAAGGGCTCTAACCTGGCTCCTCAATACAACAGCCTTTAGCCTCATGGAGTGGGAGAACTTGTTAAAAACATTTATGTTTGGTGGTGGCACTGGGGATTGAACTCAGGAGTGGTCTACCACTTAGCTTTACCTGCAAACATTTCCCCCCATACTTTTTATGAGTGCATATTGAGTATACAAATTAACTAGTTTCATTTTGGCAAATCTACTCAAGCGTATAATATTTAATCACTTCCTCCCTTCCCCCCCTCCCCTTCACTCTGCCCCCAAGTTCCACAAGGCTTTGAGGGAGTTCAGTGAGTATATTTTGATCCTGCTCATGCCCCTGCTACCCTTCTCTAAACCCTTGTTCCTCCTCCACCTTCCCTTCCTCTTGCCTAATGATCACCTCTCTTTGGTTTTCTTGTCATCTTTGTTAGATTCCACATACTAGGGAGACCATGAGATATTTTCTTTCCGAGTCTGGCTTATTTCATTCAACATGATACTTTCCAGGTCTGTCTACAAGTGGCAAAATTGCATTCTTTTTTAGGACTGAGTGAAAATATGCAGACATTTTTATTTTTTGAGACAGAATCCTGCTAAATTACCCGGGCTGGGCTTGAACCTATAATCCTCCTGCCTCACCCTCCAAACAGCTGGAATTTTACAGGCACCTTTAATTAAGAAAAAGTTAACAAAAATAAAAATTAAGTCTGCCTGCTATTATCCATATTATAGTTATCACTCTACTAGCCACAGTTGCCACATTTGAAGAGGACAATGTCTGTGTGTGGTGCAAGCCTCGTCCATCGCTTAGGAATGCTCCTTTATTCCCCAGATATGATGGTCTGTAATGAGACTGACTTCCAGGTCCCAAATTCTACTTTGCTACTCAGTAGCTGTGTGACCTTGGACAGTTTATTCTATGTTTTCTTCCTTTACTTTCTCTGTCTGCAAAATGAAGTTAAAAATAAAACTCACCACCAACGAAAAGCTGTTGTGAGAATTCCATAACTTACTACATGTGAAGCTTTTGGAACAAACGCTTACTAACATTGTAAACATATTAGAGTAAGCCTATAATATTTATATTATGCTATTAACACTGTCATATAGTAATATAATTGTATCCACCCTCCTCTACAGAGGAAATGTTCCACAGTGAATACCTAAAGTCACAAATAATACCAGACCCCATACACTCAGACGTTCCTCACTTAGTGACCTAATTCAATTCCTGCAACTGGGACGTTACATGAACTGGTTGCTAAATGAGGCTGTTTGTGGTGTGTACGTTACTGTATGTAGTATGTACATTACAATATTCAGAAGAAAGAAGTGTTCAAAGGAAACTCCAACTTGATGACTTTGCTTTTATTTGCATGAGTCTTACATGTAGTACCGTGATATATAATAATGTAAAACTTTGATACCATTCAGTACAGTATAACTAGCAAAAATTATACCACTGTACAGGACAAGAAGCTGCCATAAGGCCACATTGCCACTTACGTCCCTGGGTTGTACATCTAAATGTGGGTCATAAGTGCAATCAGTCATTACACAAGTAGGTTGTTAAATGGGGAATATCTGTACAGTGTTTTCTCCTATATGCCCTGAAGTATTCTCACACCCTTCTAGAACTAATCTGGTTTTCTATGTTTTATATCCTGGAGCCTCCTGCACATCACTTTTCTTGCATTCTGGGGCCATCATTAAATAAAACAAGTGTTTTTTGAACATAAACTCTGTGACATCACCGCAGCCAGTCTGAGCATCAAGACAGTCATTCTGGGCATGACAGTGAATTCCTGCAATCCCAGGTACTCAGGAGGCTGAGGTAGGAGAATTGGAAGTTACAGGCCAACCTGGGCAATTTATGAGACTCTAGCTCAAAAAGTAAAATACAATAGAATAGAATAGATCTAGATGGTTCCTAAGTGATTAATGGGTGGGTTACAGGTGCAACGCAGATACACTGGACAAAGTGACAGTTGACAGCCTGGGCAGAATGAGTTGGACGGTGAGAGACCTCAGTGCACTGCTGCTAATGGAGCTTTTTTTGGTACCAGGGATCGAACTCATGACCTTGCACTTCCCAGGCAGGCTCTTATGCCACTGAGCTAAGTACCCAGCCTTAATGGAGCTTATTTTAAAGCTCATGGATTGTTTGTTCCTGGGACTTTCAACTTAATATTTTATGGTTACAACTGACCAGAGGTAATTAAAATTTCAGAAAGTAGAACTAACTGCAAACAGAGAGAAAATATTATTATTATTCATATACCTCCCTGGATCAGGCAAGTTGCCCATTCTGTTTAATCATTATTCAGTATCTGTAAGACACATATTACCTATCCATACTACATATGAGGAATCAGAGTTTTGTGAACAGCATTCAAAAGGAAAAAATCAGAGTATGGATCAGAGTTGATTCTGATGTGCATGTCTGTTGTCTTGAAACTGAACTCGCTGAGGCAAAAGCAGAAGCAAAGGCCCTGGGGTAGACATTATGGGTTTTGTCTTGTGTAATGCTTATTGGCCAGTTAGCTATAACACAGGGTATGTGGATGGTAGTAAGTATGGGAAAACAGCAATAATGCTAGAAGTCACTGAACACTCAGCTGAGAACTCAGGGTTCCATTTGGAGGACAATGGGATACTCTAAAAAAGCATGTAATTTATGATAACCTACCCCTTAGTCCATGCTGATGAAAATAATAGACCACACCTATGGAGTTTAAATAATTTACCAAGACTTGCAACCATAGTCTTTCTCATGGAGTCCCTACAAGAATTGTTTAAGGAAGATTTTGTTATAAAATTCCCAATTCACAGATGAGGAAAAAGAGGCTCAGAAAAGCTCACACAGCTGGGCTATAGAAGACTC